ATGTGGCCACCCGCCAACACCGCTACCATCGATGGTGTTTTGGCCTACTTTGCGTTGCCGGCGTGGCTGTGGGAGGCCTTTTGCACGGCCATGGGAGATCCTGGTGCAGACCTGCGGCTCCTTGCAGCTATGCCGGCAGAGATGATCAGCGAAGGGGTGGCCGCGGTGCGAGCAGAAGGGGGCCGGCGACTCACTCCGGTCGAAGCGATTCAACTGGGACTGGTTTACCGAGCCGCCCACAGACTGGTCCATTTGGGTACGGGGGGAAGCCTAAGCAATTGGGTGGACCCGAACCCTTGGGAACCAACTACATCACTGCAGACCTCTATGGCAAGGATGGGGACTACGTCAACGACACCTTCGAGTACCACCCAAGAAAGGAAAATGAAATTGAGCCAGGTTGCAGATCAAGGAGACGACTCCGAGTTCCCAGTGCTGCCAGAGGCCAACAAAGCTTCTTTCTACGCGAAGTACGTGGAGAAGATGGGGGGCCTACCTGCGGACTCGGAGGACCCGACGATCGAGCAGCTGTCGGCGATCCTGAGGAAGGTCAAAGTGCTGCACCAGCCACCTTACTGCGACTTTGCAGTTTGGGTCCCTTTCGCAAAAAGACACCTGAAGGCCCAGAAGTACCAGTCCTTTGTACTACAAGAAGACGGGACCTTCGAATCAAAGATGGTGCCGGGACCCTCGTGCTTCAGCCACTGGCAGGCATCCTTCAGAGTGTTGAGAACGGCCCTGGTGATGACGAACATCATAAGCCTCTCGAACCTGATGGAGTGGGAAGCGCTGGTGGAGAGGCTTCATCGACAGTATCCTGGGTGCTGGGGCCTGGTGGCAGCTGCAGAAGATCGAGGGCGAGGGGAGTTTATGGGGAAAACCCTGGCCAAGTTGCGGCTGGAGATGGATCAAGGGGCCCCAGCACCCTTGGGATGGCGCCCAGAGGAACCGTGGAACATTGTGTGGGGCAAGGTCCTACGAGACAAAGACTATTGGGCAGAGCAGGTGCACATACCAGCAATCTCGTGGACGGCAAAGGGATCAAAGGGAAAGCCACTGACGCCTATGGAGGAGATGGCGGAAGCGTCGATGCGTGGAGGCCGACAAGCCCTACTACAAGACCCCGGCGAGACGGACATCGAGGGTGGCAAGAGGAAGAATCGAACAAGGAGAGAGGCTCGCAAGAAAAGACTGCGGGCAGAAAGGGAAGAGTTGCAGGGCTACCGGAAAGGTGGCAAAGGTGGAGGAACAAAGGGTTCTGGGGGCCCCACAGGAAAAGGTGGAGCCTCAGACGAGGCGTGCTACGCCTGGAACAACGGGAATGGGCTCTGCGGAGGACTGGCACCAGGGGAGGCCTGCAGAGCAAAGGTGGTGCGCAAACACCAGTGCACCATCTGCCACTCCTCTGGACACCCTTCGAAAGAATGCCCTTCGAGGAAGAAGTGATCTACCTCCTGAAGTACCTCCTGGTGATCTGCGGTGGGGGAGAAGCTGAAGGTGAAGGGGCAAAAGAACCGAAAGAAGAACCAGAAAGGGTGGCTGTCCCTGGGACCTCCGTCAACAAAGATGTGAGGAAGTATACCAGGCGCCGAGAACTCACTGGGGAGGACCCGGAAGGTGAGGACGAGCCGCCCAAAGACAAGATCCATGTGAAGGGAGACTACCTGACGTACGAGGAGTTCCTGAAAGTGCGCAAGTTCATCTTCGTGCACCACTTCTCGGGCCCGGTGGACAAACTTAGCGAGGCGGTGAGGGCAGAAGCAGAAAGGGCGGGCCTGATGGTCGAGACTTTCTCTGCGGACCTGGAGTTGGGGCAGAACTTGATGGATGACGAGCCCTACAAGACGCACAGGCTCGCAGCATCGAAGGGCAAGATCGACGGCTATCACTCCGGGTTCCCTTGCACGACGTTCACGAAGCTGAGATGGAGGCCGTGCCCAGGCATGCCAGGACCGGTGCGGTCGAAGGAGCACCCCTACGGCTTCCCCGACCTGAACGTGCGAGAAGAAGAGGAGTGCAGAGTGGGCACGGTGCTCATGGCCCGCACAACGGTCATGGTGGACGCCATGTACAAGGCGGACAGGTTCATCAAGGTCCCCTGTTTTGCCACAGTGGAGAACCCTCCACCGTCAGAGGTGGAGTCACACATCTCGGCCTGGCACATGCCAGAAATGGTGGCCCTGGTGGACAAGGTGCCGGATTGGAAGTGCGCCCACTTTAATACCTGCGCTTACCAGTCGAACTTGGAGCCGGGCACACGACACTACAAGCCACAGATGATCGGCAGGAACTTGCCGGGCATCGAGGCGCTGAACAGATCGTGCCAGTGCGGAAACCGCCCACACGAACCCGTTGTGGGAAAGGAGAGGTCGAAAAAGTCGGCCGAGTACCCGGACGAGTTCTGTGCGGCATACGCAGTGCTGGCAGTGCGGCACTTTACAAAGATGGCCCAGGCAGAATTCCTGGAAGGGAGGCTGGTGCTGCTCAACAACCGCATCAACTACCTGAAGGGGGCCACAGCCGACACGGTGCAGGAGGCAGAGGACATTGACGAGAGCTCCAACCAGATCATGGAGAGTGACGACTTCCAGCGGGGCTTAACCATAAAGAGGCTCTTCGTGGAGGTCCAAGATAAAGAAAGGAAAAAGAGAAGGAGGGTGCAGAAACCTGAAGGAGAACAGCAACAAGAGGAAGCCCGGGAGGAGGGAGAACCTGGAGGAGAGAAAAACTCTCCCCCAGCCGCCGACGTTGCTGACCTATCCAAAGGATCTTCAGCTTCTAGCTCGGGCCAAGTCACCTGGAGCGGGGGACATGGGAAGCACGGCATGCTGAAGGAACCGAAGGGCAAGAACGAAGTGCCCCGTGCGTTGGTTTACATAGGGGGCATGAGAGATCCCCACAGATCAGTGCTGAAACTCCCGACAGTGCAATCTTTGGGTGCCAAGATGTGGGAGAGATGGGAGTCCTTCATCAAAGAGTACCCGAAGGCATTGGACGTGGCAGAGACCTACGGCACGGAGGACTGCCACTACGAACAGGAGATCGTCGAGAGGTGGAGAAGTGAGCTCTGCGAGATGTGGGGCACTCCAGTCCCGGGCGTGGTGCTGACCGAGAGGGGCGAGTACAAGTCGCCGGTGTACCACGAGATGGTGAGGGCCTGGACCAGAAAGTCAGGAGACCCAGACATCCACGTGGCGAACTGGCTGCAACATGGGGCCCCGCTGGGCATAGAGAGGGACATACCCACCGCTGGCATCTTCCCCCCAGCAGAAGAGGCGGCGAGTGGGATGGCCGGATGTGCAGACGCGGACGCAGCCCTGGAAAAGCCTGACACCCTCCGCAACTACAAGTCGGTGGAGGACGACCTTCTGGAGGCCAACATCGAGCTGGACAGGTACGAGGGCATGGGCTATTTGAAGCGGATCGACCTCAAGACTGCCGAGGAGAACTACAAGGGAGGCACCGTCAGCCGCCTGGGGCTGGTGGTGAAGACAAAAGAAAATGGCGAGAAGAAGAGGCGCATCGTCATCGATTTGCGCCGGAGTGGAGGGAATGCCAAGAGCACCTTGCCGGAGAGGCTAGTCCTTCCTCGGCTACTGGATGCCATCAAGCTCATAAAGGAGATAAGGAAGAGGGTCACTCCGGTGAGCGACTCAAACGTCGACGCAGAGCTGGAGCTGGCCCTGGTAGACGTGAGCGACGCCTTCACGGTTTTGCCAGTAGCACCGGAGGAGCTCAAGCACACTCTAGCCCCCTCTACGGTGGAAGGAGAGATGCTGGTCTTCCAAGCGTTGCTCTTCGGCTACAAGGTGGCGCCACTGCTCTACAGCCGCTTCGCGTCCTGGCTGGCGCGACTGCTGCAGGCCGGGGTCAGATTGGACAAAGGGGGACATGAAGTTTACCTGGACGACGCTCTTTGGGTGCTGTCACTGAAGGCGAGGAGTACCACCCTGAGCTATGTACTGAACACCATGGGGGCGCTGGGAGTGAAGGTAGCCTTGAAGAAGGGCTCCAGAGCGAGCAGCGCCACTTGGATTGGGGTCGCCCTGAACCTGGTGGATCGGGACACCCTGGTCGTGGGCCTGCCGACGAAGTTCATCAACGAGCTGTCGGGCATCCTCAACAAGTGGGAGAATGCAGGGTATGCTCCCCTGAAAGAGCTGAGGTCCGTCGCAGGGAAGTCGGCCTGGCTAGGGGGAGTGCTGCCCCGTGCAAGGTGGGTGACGAGTGTGTACTATGCCGTACTCACCCAGACCTTGAAGGAGGAAGAGGAACAGGACAGGTCGTCTTCTGCAACCAGAAACAGAAAGGGGCTATTTGCGGTAAAGAGGCTGGAGCTGGCCCGAAGGTGGATGCTGGCTTTCTTGGCCGCGGCGAAGTTGAGGCCAATGAGGCGCATCACACTCTCGCCGAAGCAGATGGCCGAGGTTCGCATCATCACAGACGCCTCCCCGGAGGCACTGGGTGGCTTGCTGCTCATAAACGGCAAGATCGTGAGGGCATTCTTCAGCACGACGGAGCAGAAACAGACGGATGCCCTCTTGGTCGAGTACAAGTCATCAGCATCCCAAGGCGTCTTGGAAGCCTTGGCGATCCTGGTAGCAATGAGGAGGTGGAGCGAGAAGATCAATTGCATGACGCTCCAGCTGGCGGTGCAGGGGGATTCCATTACAGCCCTAGCACTGACGCAGAAGCTGTCTGCAAAATCTACGAGCCCTGGACTCAACTTCATAGGGGCAGAACTTGCCATCTGCCTGGAGGAGCTGGCCGTAGAGGAGATCCTCACGCTGCACGTGCCGGGGAAGGCAAACGTCGAAGCTGACTTCCTCTCCAGGCCGAGCACGTGGGGTGACGTGTCCATGCCGGAAGCTCTCAGCGGCGTGGACATCGAGCCTGAAAACGGGCCCAATGACAGCTTCTATCGGCTGCCTACCCCCTTGGAGGCCCCCTCCTTGTGGGGAACGAAGGGTGAGGCGGCCGGAGGAGTTGGAATGTGGGAGGCCGTCATCTGAACCCAACCGGCACTAGCTCACCTTCTGATGAATCGTCAGAAAAGAGAGGCACAAAAGGTGCCGGGGGGGCGATTTAAAGGGTAAGTTGTTTTCTTTGGACTTCCTCCCACCGTTTTCTGCCTCCTTTTCTTTTTCTCCGGTTGGTTAATTAATTTCATTTCAATGCCGGGGGCACAGGGCTCAAGCATGGTTGACGTAGACGCCCTGGACTTTGCCGGCTGGGACTTGTTCTTCTGGCTAGTCCTCTCCGGCATTCTGGCCCACGGCCTGCTCGCGCTATGGCTCTGCACAACCTGCTGGGGCTCATTCGCGTCATGGGGAAGACAACAACCAAGATTCCTTCCCCCCGGCGTTCCCGGGTGAAAGCTGGCGAGGAATGGGTTGGGGGCAAATACCAAGTCAACCTGCGGTACCGACCCAGCTCGCGGGACACCCAAGGAGGACAAGTGCTGGCGAGCTTGATCAGAAGAGCTTGAAGGAAGCACAAGGACTACCTCAACTACCTGTTCCAAGTGGAGCACCATGGCATCTTCCGGGACAAGGCCTTCTACACGGAGATGCAGGAGGAGAACAAGGTCTTCTACACGGAGACGCAGGAGGAGATCAAAGCTCTGGGAGCATCAACCTGGAAGAGGGAAGCGACAAACACCACGTTTAGGACGATGCAGAGATACTGGAATTCGGCCGTGGGGTGGATGAGTCCTTCGAAAAGGAGGCGCACACAGGACCCACCTGCACCACCGAAAAGGCTAGAGCTACCCCGCATCAAACTGCCTGGAAAACAGAAGGCGCAGAAGGACAAACTGAACAGAGCGCTGGAATCAGCGCGGGTGCTGAAAGAAAGCGGGTTTGCAAAGCCTTCCATTGAGAAAGACTTCTGTGCGGCTTCCTCTTTAGGCTCCAAGAACGCCAAGAAGAAGACGATCAACAAGATCCTGGACGCGCTCACTCATCCAGATCCTCCCCTACCACTGAATGCGGACTTGCTCAAGGGTTTAGCCTCCGCCCTATCGGACGGGGGTTACAAAGCAGGCGAAGGCTACCTGGTGGAAGCCAAACTCTGGCACGTGGAGGAAGGACACCCCTGGTCCGATCAACTGGACCGAGTGTTCAAGCAGTGCAAACGAGCCCTAACCAGGGGTCAAGGCCCCCGGAAAAAGGCCAAAGAAGTCTCGAAAGAAGAGAGACTCAAGCCGAAAAAGCTGAGTTTCCAGAAAGCCGACAAAGCCGTCAAGTTCGGCAAGGAGCTCTTCGACTTCTGCGTGGTGTGGATGCTGCGGGAGATCGAGCTGGCCGCGCTGAACACAGAGGACCTGGTGACAGACCACATCTCGAAGAGAGTATGCCTGAACCTCAGGCTGAGCAAGATGGACGCAGAAGGAAAAGGGATAAGGAGGACCCTACAATGCTTGTGCACAAGCAACAACTGCGGCTCAGAGTGCCCCTACTGGATCTCGGTCAACCTGGTGAACTTGGTGGAGAAGTTCAACGGCACAGGCTCACCTCTGGCGCTAGTGAAGAACAGAGAACTTGCCACCAAGGCCCAAGTCATCAAGACCTGGAGGTGGCTCTATGGCCCAGAGGTATCAGGCCACTCGGGCCGCAGAACGGGAGCACCCAACTACATTAGGTCAGGGTGGGCAATCACACAAGTGGCTCATCTAGGCCGGTGGAAGTCGAACGCGATTCTGGGCTATGCAGAAGAGGCATTGGAACAGATGCCCACTAACCTCCACCTCCCAGTCCCCACGGTGGACAAGGCGGGGGTCCTGGGCCTCGAAAGCAAGGCGATCACGGAGGAGGACTTCGTGCAGTGGAAGGCACAACTGAAGAAGGAAATGGAATCCCTCAGAGAAAACATGCAGAAGTCCGAGGAAAATCAATCGGAACAGATGGACTACTGGGCGAAACTCTACAAAGAGAACCCAGGGTCAATGCCAAGGAAGATACAAAGCCTCCCCAGCAAGGTGATCCACTTGAACCTTTCAAGATCAGCAGCATCACCGCCGTTGACGTGGAGAACGGGTGGAATTACTACGGCAGCAACTTCGTCTTCACAGACCCGGAGATGGAGGTCAGCTGCCAGAAGTGCCGAGGGCTTTGCGCGAAGACGCAGTGAGGTAGCATTTTGGCAAAGCCCAATCCTGAGGAAATTCGAAGACCTGACCTGCGGGCCTGGATTTGGTCTGCTTCAGCAGCACTCAAAAAGCGATTTGCCTGTGGGTTGGGCGGTGGCCTTTCACTCGTGTCGTAAAAGAAAAAGAGGCACGATTTTTGTGAGGGACACGTTGTAGTGAAGTTGGAGGTGGATGGCTTGAATGAATGCCATTTTGGCTCAAGCATCCACCTCCACCATTGGCTTTGTTTTTCTTTCCCACCCACCCACACCTGGGTGAGGTAAGAGCGAGGTAGCATTTTGGCAAAGCCCAATCCTGAGGAAATTCGAAGACCTGACCTGCGGGCCTGGATTTGGTCTGCTTCAGCAGCACTCAAAAAGCGATTTGCCTGTGGGTTGGGCGGTGGCCTTTCACTCGTGTCATGAATATTTAGAATGTGTCCACCAGCAAAGTGCGCAGACAGCTGTGAGTTTCATCGAGTGGCATAGATTAGGGCTAAAGTTCGGCTAAAGAATTCTTTGCCATGACCGGTAGTGCCCAGTCTGGCTGGTGGTGCCCGGCTCTCCGTCTCTCTCTGTCTCTTTCTGTCTCTCTCTCGCTCTCTGTCTGTCTATTTGTTTTTTTATTCCTCAAACTGTTTATTGTTGGGGTTCTCCGTTCTTTCTTAAGACCTGTCCTCCTGTTTACTGGTGGTATCTGGCTCTCTTGATGTCTCTCTTTACTTGTTCCCAACAGCAGAAAGCTGCTGGGTTTCAATCTCTAGAAGCAGGGGGGTGGTGTCCCGATTTTTCCCTCCTTGGCGATCGGGACGCAGCAGGGTTCCGGGAACTTTGGGACCTTGTCTCCCACTTGTCTGCTACTTGCCACTTGTCTCCCACTTGTCTGCTGCTTGTCTCCCACGTGTCTCACCACTTGTCTGCCACTTGTCTCCCACTTGTCTCCCACTTGTCTCCCCCTTGTCTCCCACTTGTCTCCCACTTGTCTCCCACTTGTCTCCCACTTGTCTCCCACTTGTCTCCGACTTGTCTCCCACTTGTCTCCCACTTGTCTCGCACTTGTCTGCCACTTGTCTCCCACTTGTCTGCTGCTTGTCTCCCACGTGTCTCCCACTTGTCTGCCACTTGTCTCCCACTTGTCTCCGACTTGTCTCCCACTTATCTCCCACTTGTCTCCCACTTGTCTGCCACTTGTCTCCCACTTGTCTGCCACTTGTCTCCCACTTGTCTCCGACTTGTCTCCCACTTGTCTCCCACTTGTCCTCGCACTTGTCTGCCACTTGTCTCCCACTTGGTCTGCTGCTTGTCTCCCAACTTGTCTCCCACTGTCTGCCACTTGTGCTCCCACTTGTCTCCGCTTGTCTCCCACTGTCCTCCCACTTGTCTCCCAATTTGTCTGCCACTTGTCCCCACTTGTCTGCACTTGTCTCCCCTTGCTCCGACTTGTCTCCCCCTTGTCCTCCCACTTGTCCGCACTTGTCTGCCACTTGGTCTCCCACTTGTCTGCTACTTGCCACTTGTCTCCCACTTGTCTGCTGCTTGTCTCCCACTTGTCTCCCACTTGTCTCCGACTTGTCTCCCACTTGTCTCCGAGTTGTCTCCCACTTGTCTCACAATTGTCCCATTTGTCTTCCACTTGTTTCTCAATTGTCTCCCTCTTGTCTCCCAGTTGTCTGCCGCTTGTCTGCCACTTGTCTGCCACTTGTCTCCCACTTGTCTCCACTTGTCCCCCACTTGTCTCCCACTTGTCTCGCACTTGTCTCCCACTTGTCTGCGACTTGTTTGTCCCCCACTTGTCTCGCCCTTGTCTTCCACTTGTCTGCATTGGTATCCCGCTTGTCTGCTTCTTGTCTCCCACAAAAAAAACACAGAATACCATTTTCTGGACGTGAAGAGTGCTGCTGCAAAAAAAGACCTTGTGGCAGCATGCAAGGTGATCAGTTTTGAATCTCAGACGTTGGAACCCTTGCTGCTGTTGGGCGGCAAAGCTAGGTTAATTTCCCTTGATTTGTCACCTAGTGTGCTTATACTAGTAGCTCTCTGGATGTCTCTCTTCTCCCTGCATGTGTCTCCCGGTGCCCGGCTCTCCGGGTGTCTCTCCTAACTTGTGCGCCCAGAAGTGTCGGCTCTCCGGGTGTTTGACCCTACTTGTTTCCATTTGTCGCCGGATGTCTCCCTTTCCTTGTTTCCCTTCATGTCTCCCCCAGTGTGCCTATGGTGACCTGCTCTCCGGGTGTCTCTCTCTCTCTCCCTCCTAACTCGCGTGCCTAGTAGTGTTCGGCTCTCCGGGTGTCTCTCTTTTACTTGTCTCCCTCTTTTACTTGTCTCCCTTCATTTGTCGCCGGATGTCTCTTTCCTTGTTTCCCTTCATGTGTCTCTCAGTCTGCTAATGGTGCCCGGCTCTCTGGGTGCCTCTCCTAACTTGTTTCTTAGTGGTGTCCGGCTCTCCAGATGTCTTTCTTTATTGGTCTCCTTTCTTTTCTCTTCTGTGCTTGTGGTGTCCGGCTCTCTGGATGTCTCTCTTTCCTTTTTTCTCTTTATATATTTGTCTCCCAGTGTGCCTAGTGGTGTCCAGCTCTCCGGATGTCTTTTTCTGTGTTTTCACTTGTCTCTCATCATGTGTCTCCCGCCGTGTGTCTCCCAATTTATCTGTCTCCAACTTGATTTGTCTCCATCGGTCTGCCTTAGTGGTGTCGGGCTCTTTCGCCTGTTCGCCTCTGTGTGTCTTCCATCATGTGTCTCTCACCTTCCATCATGTGTCTTCTCTCGTACTTCATTTGTCTCCGAAGCCATTTGTCTCCAATCATATGTCTGCCTTAGTGGCGGTGTCCTGTTCTAGTTTCATCATGACTTTATTCGTGTTTTGTGCTTGTCTCTGTTCTTTACTCCCTTTGTAATTCTTGTTGTCTCAAGACAAAATCATGTTCCACCATGGCTTTTTGTGTTTTACCACTTGTCTCTCACCTGTCTCCTACCTTGTCTCCCTCTTATTGTCTCAGGTACAAATGCCGGGGCAAAAATCGAAAGGGTGTGGCATGAGACAATCTTGCTTGTGATTCATGCTGTTCTCAATTGACATGGATCAAACATTGCGAGCATCAGAGCTAGTATAACCACAAACATGCACACAGACGCTGCAATGGATATGTAAAAACTGTTTAGGGTCTACGGGGGTGCAATTTTTGGTAGCGAGACCAACCTGTAATCACTGGAAGGATTAATCTTGTGACCCAAGGCCCAAGAAGGCGCTCACGGACAGGTTGTTGCGAGCCTGCTGAATGTGGAAACTTGTTACGTAACTAATTCCGGCTTTGTAGCCTTCGGGTAGCCGGTGGAGCTTTAGCAATTTGAGTTAACATTGGTGACAGGGGTTCCTGACAGGGGGGCATCCATCCAATTGATGCACAAGCAGCCGACAAGCTGCAGAACCCTGCCAAACACCATGGATTTGTGTATGCAGTGATGGATGGCGGTGCAGAGCCGAGATGCAGACAAGTTTTGATGTTGGAGTCCGCAGTGTTGGGGAGTCCAGTTGGTTGTGACCTCATTTGGCAAGGAAGTGTCTTTCGCACTGACACCATTGCTGCGAGCGAACGTACTGCAGAGACAGTACCGCATGAGGGAATTGTGCATATGATATGCACTGCCAATTAGAGTTGGCCATAGTCTTAGTTTCCAGTCCTGGAGTCCAACCTGATCGGCCTGCGTTTTCAGCAGGAAATGTTTAGCAATTTCATGCACTGATTCCCCGGCACATGATATCCTGCAGATCCTTGGTTTTAATAGCAGTTGACAAACCATATCCTTTGAGATGGACATTTGCAACCCAATCACGCAGTGTTCAAAACTCCTGTGGATTCATAATTACCCGAGGGTCATACTATCCAAACAGAGTGGGGACCATCGCAATCCATTGTGGGAAAAAAGGCGACAGAGGGTTTTGAAGACTGCCCAGTTATTGCATGGTGTGCCAGTAATATGTTGCGATGTACAGCCAGAATTTTGATTGATACGTGGCTCTGTACAGTCCATCCACCAACACTTTCTAAAACCCTTTATAATTCCTTTGTTCTTTGTTCGCAGGCTTTGACTGCAACTTGCACAAACAAAGTCTTCTTTTATTTCAGGAAGCTCATACGAAACCAGGAAGGAAGGCGAGGCTGCTTTGACCTGCATGAGAATTTGGTCAGTTACTCGGTGGCCGAAGGGGGTAACAATCAGATCTCGGCCTCGGAAGCGAAATTCCAGACCACCGCTCTGGCGGAAGAAAAAGAGAGTCAAATGAGGTGTCCCGATTCTATGATGCTTCGTGGCTGGATATTCAGCCTAGTTGCATGGAACAGCATGGAACATTTCACTTTTTGAGAGTCCCCAATTCATTCATTCATTTGGTGTCTGGAAATCTTAGAAGCCACTTGCTCGACAAATCAACACAAGAGAAAACAAACAAATCGGGAAATCCAAGCCTGAAGTGGATCAGCTTCCAACCTTGCACTTCGTGTGGCAACATTTGCAAACTTTGTTAGGCGTGGTAGTCACTGAAACAGCATCACCATCGACATCATCATTACCATTTTTCTGCGGAAATCAATCCTTGGGAAGAAGAAACGCTGGGGAGATTCTAGTTTAAAGATTCATTTCGGGCATGATTTATTGTTGTTGTCGCTGTTCTGGTTGTGGTTCGTTGTTGCTGGTGGTTGTCGTCGTCGTTGTTGTGGCTGTTCTGGTTGTGGTTGCTTGTTGTTAGCCTTCAATCCCTCCACAAAGTGTACGTCACGTGATGGTTGGAAACTGGCATTGATTTCGCCGTTTCAAAGTGTGAGGAATGTGTAGGATGCAGCATGCAGTGTGTACCAGCCAGTCGTTGGTCAGGAGAAGATTTGCCAGCTGGTCAGCATGGGCTTCTTTGGTGCGAGGGGCTAGGTGGCATTCTCTGGTGCTTTTCTGCTAATCAACACGTTTCCAAACTCTACACAAGGACCCATGGATCAAGCATCTTTTTATTCTGAAGCGTTTTGTGGAAAGAAATCTCCGTCAAAAGCCTAAAAGCCTGGACCTTGTCGACCTGCACATGAATCCTGATTCACTGATTGGACCAAACACAAACTGGGCAGGGCGGCACAAGGAAGAACATAGCAGAAACATAAGGTCACACAAAACGCAAAAAACCCTCACACAGAGCCATCGACAAAGGTATAGGGTTCATGCAATGATCACAGTATTGCATTCAGCTGCACAAACTATAGAGTTGGAAAGCCATGTTGTCGCCAACGAGACCTGACAGGCGGGATACCTGGATTCCTGAACCCCTGGGGTGTGGGCTGGATTGTGCTGGCACTGTGGACAAGATCTCGTACCAGCGCGATTGCCAATAAGGGATCCCATCTATTGCCAAGTAGCGTCGCATTCTGCTGACCAACTAGTTCGAAACGCATTTTTCATGCCTGCAGGTGGTCGAAGAACCACGGAAAAACTGACAGCAACCAGCTGGGTCTTCATTTTGTGAAGTGATTTGTTTCCCAGTCGGCATCCATTCAGTTTCCCACTCATCCCTCTGAGTAGATCAGATAAAACCAACATAAATCAACACATGTGTGCGTTATGATCTATGTTGACAAATTTCTTCACACCGCTGGCAAATTGCACAATCTTGTGGGGAAACACCTTGGTCGTTTTCATCTTGCCACACCTTGATACACTTTGCCGGTTTCCCGCCAGATTGGTCTGATACCACGTTGTATAAGAAAAGGTGACCTTCTGCTATCTTCTGTAAGGGCTAAGCTAAAGGTGGATTTTTCTTACAGAAGGGAGTCATTATGCAGACAAGACATGACAAAACTATGCTCATTTTTTGGTTTGATAGAGTTCAACCTGCAAGCGCACCAAAGCTTTTTGGAACCGCAAAGCAGTCCTTCGATTTTAAGCTTCATGCGTGTGCTGTTTCGCCGAAACCATCAGCAAGGTGGACATGTGCAGTTCATCCTTCAGTTCCATCCTGAGTCGCTTAGACAGCTGCGCAAATCCAGCAGATTCATCCAGATTCGCATCTGCACATGCCACGGCTACAGTGTTCTCGATACCTCTGATATCCGTCTGACTGCAGCGTTTTGATTTAATTCAAGGTGTTCAGCTGCTTAGTTTTTCAATTGCTGGATTTCCTTGGAATTTTTGCAATGGCCACAGCTGCCGTAACCCTCCCCGGTGGCGCCGGCGCATCGGGCGTGATCCCATGCCCACTGCCCGCGACGGTGGAAGATGCCATTCGCGCTGCGCAAAAGATGCAGCCAGGTGAGCCATTTCAAACGTCATGGGTGGTTTTCATCAGTCATGAAGGGGCTCATGCCATTGATATCCATTGATTCTTAGATGTTATCAACCAGCTCGTGACAGTTTCCCAAACAGACTTTTCTGACTGCTTTGGTGATGTCCGAAACTCAGGTGGCTGGGAGAATGCCGTGCTTTCCCAGGGTGTCCAACATTTAAAACCAGGCACTACCCTGGAAGCTGCTGCGTTGCTTGGTTTCGAAGACGTTTACTGCACTGCTGGACTGGTGACGTGTCGTGCCTTCGACAGTAGCTACGCTACTTCTCCAGGTTGGGACATGGGAAACTGAGGTATACCTTGGTGAGCTACGATACCTTAGGCAGCCGTGCGATCAACGTCCCACAAACGGAATGCCGTGGTATCAACTTGAAGCAGCTGTCGCAGCTGGTGGATTTCATCCGTGACCATGCGCACCTCTGGATGGAGACGTTCCTTGACATAAGTGGAGTTGGTTCTAGCTGGTCCTAGTTGTTGCTTTCAGGCATATCCACAGCTGCCAAGTTCATGTCGTTTTCTTTGTTTCAAGTTCAGCTTTCGCTCCGTACTGTAGCTTTGTCAAACCCCAGGTACTCTGGCAGCCCAAACTTTGAACAGCCGTTGGAGCTGCAGACCTTCAACCTCTACCACACATCTCATTGGGTCATAAAGCCAGCCACCCTGCGGTACAGGTGCAGCTTCGTGGAGCTCGTTGCCAAAGACGCAGAAACGCAGTTCCCGTGTTGGTTTGTAAGTCATGCGTGGCAAGAAGCCGTGTGTCGCTTTGTTGCTTGCCTGCGCCAGCACGCGGAACTGCGGAATGCCGTGGGACTAGCATACTGGGTCTGTGCGTACGCAAATAATCAACACAAGCTGCAGGAGTGCTGTGCTCATGACATCTCATGGCTTTGGCGATTTAAAGTTTGGATTCAATCCCAAATCATGGTCACGAAAACTAGCGGTAGCTAGCTGAGTTACTCTTGTTTCAGCAAGGGGAGGGGCAGGTCTGAGTCCAACACAGTGATTTTTCACTTGAACTGAACCCCCCTTCTAAGCTCCCGGGGCATTTTGAAGCAGTCTCGGAAGCAGATGGTCACGGGCTCAAATCCTGCCAGGGCCGTCCCTCTGTAACTCTCTAGCTCATGATTTGTTGAGTTTATGTGCTGCCCAGTTGATGCCAGCCGAAACGTGCCGCAGCTGCTCAGCAACAAAAACAAGGTGCCGGGCATCTGAGAGGCTCGCGACTGTCGTCACTTTTCAAACATTTTCTATGGGTGAATTGAAAAGGCCCAAAAACGAAACTTTAGTATCGTCAGCAATATCAACATCATCATCATCATCATCATCACCATCATCACCATCATCATCATCATCATCATCATACGCTAAAACATACAGCAGCGTGGAATGACGCATGTGTAGAAGTGCACAAGAGTATGTGTGGAAGCGCAAGAGAATCTACACGGTAGCATGACGCATGTGTAGGAGTGCAAGAGAACCTACAGCGTAGCATGATGTATGCGTGGAAGTGCAAGAAAACCTACAGCAGCGTAGCATGACACATGTGTGGAAGTGCACGAGTACCTACAGCGTAGCATGACGTGTTATGTGTGGAAATGCAAGAGAATCTTCAGCAGCGTAGCATGACGCATGTGTAGAAGTGCAAGAGCACCTACAGCGTAGAATGACGTATGTGTGGAAGTGCAAGAAAACCTACAGCGCAGCATGGCGTATATGTGGATGTGAATGAAATGCAAGAGAGCGTACAGATATGTTGCATCACATATGTGTGGAAGTGCAAATGACGTTATTATCCCACCCCACCCCACCCCCCCACACAATGTTATTTTCATGGTAGAATGCAAAAAATGACAACAGTCGCGAGCCTCTCAGATGCCCGGCACCAAAAAAGAAGGTGGTGAAAAAAGAGATCTGGACAGGCATCCTATCTCATGAGACCCAAACTTTGTAGAGTCACCATCTTCTTTGGTTCCGATGTTTTGCGACTTGCAATGGAAGATTTTTACATGTTGTTCGGATGGAACTCTTGCGCACGATGCCTCACCAGAACATTAGGCTCGATAGAGCTCTTTCTGACTGAGGTCAACACTGTTTGGTTTGAGCCCCATCAAAAAATAAAATTTTGCATGGGGCTGAAACTTTATAGAGTCACCATCTTCTTTGGTTCACATGTTTTACGACTTGCAACGGAAGATTATTGTTGTTCGGATAGACCTCTCGCACGATGCCTCACCAGAACATTAGGCTCGATAGAATTCTTTCTCACTCCGGTCAACACTGTGTAGATTTGAGCCCCATCATTACAATTTTTGGATGGGGCCCAAACTTTATAGAGTCACCATCTTCATTGGTTCAGATGTTTTACGACTTGCAGCGGAAGATTGCATGTTGTTCGGATGGAACTCTTGCGCAAGATCCCTCACCAGAACATTAGGTTCGCTAGCGTTCTTTCTGTCTCAGGTCAACACTGTGTAGATATGAGCCCCATCAAAAATTATAATTTTGGATGGGGCCCAAACTTTGTCGCGTACCAATCTCCTTTGGTTGAGACTTTCCAAGCCCGCCAGAGCTTCTAACAATTTGGCAGTGGGCCCAATAGAATTCTTTGTGACTCGGACCAACAGTTGAGGATTTCAGCCCCATCAAAAATTACACTTCTGGAAAGGACCACGCTTTTTTCAGTAACCATGTTCTTTGCTTCACATGTTCTACGATTGAAAGCTGGACATTACACAATTCTTTGCAGCCATTTTGACTCCTTCCCTGTGGATGAGTATCGTCTGCGCTTCCTCCATGTTTCCAAGTTCCGCCCACCTTTTTCCACATTCATATGACCTTTAGCTTACGTTCACCCCGCCCTGTGCCTCAAGTTTCGATGAAGATGTTTTTTCTATGTTTCCATTTTTAAATCCACTGCCTGTTGAATCCAATCTACTTCTTTTGGTGTTTCCTGAAACAAAAAATCCAAGAAGCGCACGCCAGGAGGAGATCTCGGCCAACCCACGTGGGACGTCCTTCTACAAGGCCATGAAACTGGCCGTTGGGGTCGTGCTGATCTTGGACCGGGATGCCACGCAGCAGCCCCACAAAACGCCCAAGACCTTTGCTGAAGTGGTTCGAGCCAACACTGCGTTTAAGCCGGTGTGGAGCCTGCGTCAGTCAGACTGGACGGGGCCCATTTTGGGCTTTGATGACTTTTGTGTCGCACTGGATAAGCCTGGAAATATTTCAGCTACAGTGCAAGTGAACTCGGAAGAGCAACTTGAGGAGTTGCAGGTTTTGCTGAAAGGCGATTCCCCTGATATCAAAAGAGAGCTCAACATCACAGCTGTGATGCTAGCGCCGAAAGAGGCCAAGCAGACTGAGGAGGATCGACCTTTGCGGATGGTGCCAGGAAAGATCTCGGGCAAGGTGCAGCCCAGGCAGGCGTTTGTGATCCCACTTCAAGGCCAAGGGCCATCACTCAAGAGAGCTGCCGTTGTGTCAGCGGCTCCTGCAGTGCAGCCTGAAACTGTTGTAGTGAGATTAAGTGTTGATGCAAAATATTTGCAAAACAACGAGTGGCAGAGCATCCAGGCCAAGCCAAAGGCAAACGCGCAGGCTTGGTTGCATCGGCATGTTCCAGAGCATGTTGCGGACAAAGTCTTTGATATGTGGGCGTTTCAGCAAGAAAGCATGAAAGGCGGAGGCAAGCCAGTGATCACTGGCCTTTTACGCATTGAGCGAAGTGCTGCCAAAGCTCTTCTAGGCTGCTCAGGCAAAAGTACCTGGTTTGTGGAGCCTTTGCAATGGAACAACTCCGTGATTGAATCTTGCGATGTTGAGTGGGTCAAGAAAAGTTCGGAACTTGATGGGCCCAGCTACTTGCAGAAGGTTCAGTCCATGGCTGGTGACCTGGGCATTGCCCGGGGATGGAATGGACTGGGAGTACGTAAGCCCAGGAGCGCCGAGCCTCCTCCTAAGGCCAGAGCTTGGCGCGTCACTGGTGTTCCGCGAGATTGGGCGGCTAGTACCTTGACTCAGGAACTTACACGTGCTGGCCTGACTGAACTCAAGGTGTTGTCCCGGAAAACTGTGGGCAAACAAGTGGAATGGTGGGTGCAGGCCAATGCTCAAAAGGATATGGATTTCATTGAAATTCAGGCTGGCGAAAAAGTCATTGTAGCTGTTGAAGCTCCAAGACAAAGACGGCAGAGAACACATACCATGAAACTGGCTAGCAATGGAAGGGTCAGTTATAACCAGAGCCATGCATGGCAGGCGATTGCCACGCCTGCTCCTCGCAAATCTTTCTACATGGGAACGCCAGTCAAAAAGCCAGTGACTATTGCAGGGGCTGAGAAGGTTCCTGCTGAGAATTTGGACGAGGACAAGTCGGACGCAAAGATGGACAATGCTGGAGAACCCGCTGGGGCAAAAAGAACTGTCAGTACTCCTGAAAAGAGTCCTCCGGCCAAGCGTGTTGCGGGGGAACCCAAGCCCCCTCACAATATGAAGGTGAAAAGCATCCCTGCTGACGGCAACTGTTTTTTTGAAGCCCTTGCTCAAAGTTTGGGCGGAAAAACAGCCAGGAATGTGCGTGCAAGCGTTGTCACCCACCTGACCAAGCACCAGGGTCGTTACAAGCCCTGGTGGGACGGCAAGGAGCCAACAGAGGCGGAGAATGCTTGCGAATCATGGGAGAGCTATCTCACCATGCTCTCAAAGATTGGTGCTTGGGGCAGTGCTCTTGAAGTTTCTGCTGCGGCTGTGCACTACGATCGCCCGATCATTGTCTTCCAGCCTCGTGGGGTTCCGGAGATTTACAATGGTCGTGGCAAGGGTGGTGCTCCCATCGCTTTGTGGTTTCGTTCAAAGCACTATGAACGACTTGAAGGTGCTTTCCCTCCTGAAGTTTTGACTCAGGCCGCAAATGGTCCAATGCAGGGCAACAGAGGTGGAGGATCGGAATGTGGCGCTACTTCAGTTGGTGCCACCAGATTGTCAGCTTTGCCGTCACTGGTTCATAGCAACAATAAACGTGGAAGGTGTGCTAGCCCCGCGCCCGCCTCTACTTTGTCAGAGCAGCGCAAGAATTCTTCTTCCCCTGCGGCTGCTACTTCGGGTCGGGGTCCGTGCACGCCACGTGCAGCCAGTGAAGGACAAGACGCAGCCAGTGCTTCGTCCAGACGCACTAAGCGTACTGAGTGGACATGCCCTTTGTGTGACTTTTCCACTGGGGTGTGCAAAGGATGGGTTGACAAGAAGAGAGCTCATATCAATGCTTGGCATCCCGATGAGAAGGAACAGTTGAAAATCGGCTTCAAAAACACGTTGCCTGCGCTGTCTGCGGTCAAGAAGGGAGGAGTCTATAGCTGGAAGTGTCCTGTTTGCAAACTTGGCTTGTCCGCTGATCACAACCTCAAACCTGGCCAAGTGTACAGCGTCATCCGCAAGCATAGGGAAGACAAACATCCTCAGGCGGATGCCAAGCTCTTCCACAAGGACAGCAGCTTCAGACGGGAGAATGCTAGCAAAGCCACGCGCCAGGTGCGTGCAGCTGCAGTGGCTCGAAGGTTGCTTGGCTTCAAGCGTGGCGATGCTGGAGCACATGACCCCACTTTCGTTACCATTCCAGCCACAGGAAATGGCAAACAGAAAAGAGTTGGAATGTCTTACGTCATTTGCAAAACTTGTGGCAGTATGGCTTTGACAGCGAAGCGTTTGGCAAAGATTGCTTGTGAACAGTATGCTTCCAGCAAAGGGCCCAAACGAAAGCAGTTGGTGGAAAGATTGCGTGCGTGCCTCAAAAATGCAGACATCAGCGATGACCTCAAGAAGGGTGCCCGCACAGTTTTGGAAATCATCGACTCTGGAGCATTTCGCACCACTGATACTGCAGCAGACAGCACGCATCAGATTGAGGCCATTGTGTGGCCTGCCAATTTTACGGTGCGTTTTGCTTGTGTGCATTGCAAGCGTTGTGTCAACAACATCAGACGGCTTACAGGAAGTCAGTGTCCTCGTAAAATGGTTTGGACTAAGTTTCGAAAGGGCCAGAAGGATATTTTGGTGCCTCTTGCGGCTCAGGCTCCAAGTGCCAGACAGCGAGCTGCTTCGCGAGCTTTGGACATTTTGGGATTGCAGCAGGATGGCGCTGTGGATCAGAACCCATGACGGGCTCTGACAGCACTATGCGGTTGGGGACTATGAATGTACGGTCCTTGGGAGGCCGCTTGGGTGGTGTGCTTGACTTTGCTCAGCTCCAGAATTTACATGTTCTGTGTCTTCAAGAAACTAGAGTTAACAATCACAGCTGGAATGCTGTGACTCGTGCCGTCAAGGCACGCGGGTGGCAACTTTTCCCTGGCCCTCAAGGAAGAAATTCGAAAAATGTAGTGGAAGGTGGTACATTGGTTCTAACAAAGTGGCCTGCTGAGGCCTTGGCCCTTCCTGTCGACATGGTGTCTGTGGAAAGATCCATGGCCGTCAAACTCTATAGACCTCAGCAAAGGCCGTTGATTCTCATCAATGTTTACTTACATGCTTCAGATCGCACAGCTGCCAGCCGTGCGCTGGGTGCGCTGTTCGAGTTTGTTGCTGCTTGTGGTGAAGATACAGTGATCATGGGTGACTTCAATTTGGAAATTCATTGTTGGCCAATTTCTAACGTTTTGGCTACTGGACAGTGGCGGTCCTGTGATGAGCTGGTTTGCGGAGATCGTGTTTTAGGTGGTACACATCGAACTGCTGCAGGTGTTTATACAGGTGTGGTCATTGACTATGGCTTGTGCACTCCTCGGTTAATTATTACTGGTAGGGAGCAACATCTTGGCGTGGCTGACCATGACGCGGTGGTTTACAACTTGCATGTGCCTGGTTCATTATCCACACCGTGGACTCTCCCAGTTGGTGCCCCTTTGCATTCTGAAAAGGTTGCTGAAGCTTCTTGGCTAAGTGCTTGGGAAGAAGTATGTGACGATTTTGGAAATGCATTGAGTACAGGCAACGTGGACTCTGCTTGGACCTTACTTAGCAACTGCGCAGAATCTCTTCTTCTCGCACGTGGCAAAACTGGTCGTGCTATGCGCCAGGGCCCGCAGCAAATTGCCAGTCCTCCGTCTTCAAAAGCGCCTTCTTTGCAAACAGTGAAAGAGCGCAAGCTCAGACGCTTCGCACGAAGAGTGGTGGAGTACCAAAAGGCCCCGTTGCCAGAGTTGGAGAAGAAGTTGGTTCGTGATGGCCCTCATTTACATCATTCTTTGGCTTTTTTTCTCTTTGGATGACCCCAGGTTGGTTAGTGCAGTGCTAGAATTGGCAAATGCAGAAGCTACAGCAGCGTCCAAGTTACGCTTGGAGGCGTGGAAGGACAGCGTGCAGGAAAATGCCACCAAACTAGGCAGGTGGGTCAAACAGGTGCCGCCCGCCAGTCCTACTGCAAGTTTTGATGGCCCCATTCTACCTGCAGATAGGGCCAAGTGCGCAGCATTGGATTGGGAGAGGTATTGGAATCCAGGGTCGCTTCCGAATTTGAATCTGGGGGACCAGTTGTACTCTCAGATTGGCTCTGCAAGCGATCCATTGCCGGATGACTGTATTCAGGTTAGTGGTTCTGAATTGGTTCGGATTGCGCTCAAAGCGAAGGACAAGGCTCCGGGCATGGATGCCTGGACAGCTCTCCATTTGTGCAATCTTCCCATTGCTTTTTGGGATCAGGTCGGTGCTCTTTGGGATGCTTGCTTGCGACATGGCTGTGTTCCTGCGATGTGGAAAGATGTTAGAATTGCTTTGTTACCAAAAGCTACTGGTGGCATGCGCCCTTTAGCCATTGTCACTGTCCTGTGGCGTATTTGCATGAGTGCCACTCTGAAAAAATTACAGCCTTGGATTGCGGAATGGGCTTCGCCCGAACTTTTTGGTGGTCTACCAGGCAAGGGCATCATGGAAGTCCATGAACGTTTCTACGAAGCTGTCAGCGCGGCAAAGCAGTCTCGTGTCGATTTGGTCGGGTGCAAAGCTGATGTTCGCAAGTGTTTTGATTCAGTTTGCCCTCAGACAGCCATTAAAGTGTGGCGATGGTTCGGTGCTCCCTCATCAATTTGTGATTTACTCGCTGATTTTTACAGTGAACAGCGTCGTTGGTTTGCTTGGCAAGGTTCTTATCACCCTCATCCGGTTATTGCTCAACGGGGTTTGTTGCAAGGCTGTCCAGCCAGCCCTGCGCTACTGAACGCTTTGATGACAGTTTGGGTGAGGTTTGTCAAACGGCAGGAACCAAGGATTTCTTTGGCTATTTATTTGGACGATCGCACCATGTGGAAACAAGGTTGTCAAAGTTTTGAAGTGGTCATCAACGCCATGACTGCGGGAGCGCAAGCCGATGCTATTCTCGGCTTCGAACTTCACCCTGACAAATTGGCTAGCTTCGCCACCAAACCGCATCTGGTTGCCAAGGTGCGCAAGAAGAAAGATTTAGTAGGTGTACCTGCGGATACTTTCACACTGCTTGGCATTCAATACAATTTGTCACGCCCCAGTTCTTGTGTTGATGCGGATATTGTCAGTGACAACATTCAGCGACGGTGTCTCAAAATTCGTTTGGCAGCACAGCACTTAGGCACTCGCATTGCATTGGTGCATAAGTTGGTGATATCTTTATTTGCTTGGTCCGGTGCTTTTCATCACTTCAGTGCAAGAACCATTCGAACATGGACATCTATGATCGAAACTGCACTTTGGGGTCGAAGGGCTCCTCCAGGTAGGAGCCGGCTGCTCTTTTGGAATTCTTTGGGTTCTGCAAGACTACATCCGATGTTTGCGCTCCAGTTCACCGCCGCCCGGGCGGAATGGAATCGGCAATGCCGCCGTGCCCAAGGGTTGCCTGCAGCTACCTCGCCTGCTCCTCGCTGGAAAGCAGTACTCAAAGATTGGAAATGGCGACTTGACGATGGCCTGTGGCACACGCCTGCTGGGATTTTGAAACCTGGGTGGATGTCTTTGAAAAGCTTGCAAAAGGCCGCTATCCATTCATGGCTCGTTGGTTTGTGGACTAAAGACACCAAAACGGATGGTCGATGGCCAAACGGCAAGGAGCCGGTTTTCCTTTTTCAGGCAAATGCAGCTTTAGGCATGGATTACTACAGTCGCAGGGTTTTGACTGGTGCTGCAGTGGATGGCAGGGTCACAGAGCGCTTTGGTTCTGCTTTGAGTTGTGAATGTGGATTGCGGTCTCCTGATCGAGAACATCTCACTTTTCACTGCCAAGCGCAGCCATGGGATGGTGAGTTCAGGAGCGCTACTGAACGTCGTTTGCTGGTTCCACTTGTGGATGCTCCTCCTGTGTTGCCTTTTTCCAACATGGTTGCAGATCCTGCTTTGGTTACTTTTATTCAGCAATTCGATCCTCTTCAGCGACCCACCTTGGGTTTGGACGGCAGTTGTATCATAGCTACTTCCTGTGATCGATGGCAAAGAGCTAGCTGGGCGGTTTCGACACTTTCAGGCACCACTGTTCAAGGTGCCGTGACTGGTTTTGAGCAAACACCTGCTGCAGGTGAGCGTGCTGCTCTTCTGCAAGCTTGTTTAGCCTCTTCTGCAGCTAACAGACCGGTGATGCTCTTGATTGACAATCAGGCTTTGGTGCGGCGGCTTCAGCGAGGCATTAGCACTGGCCGTTGGGAGGGTGACTTGCCGCTTTTCTGGCAGCGGATCAGCGGCTTATTGATTCAGGGCACTGTTTGCACTTGGATCCCTTCTCACAACAAGGTGCCTGACTGGACACCACCAGATGGTTGGATTGATGTTCATCTCTGCCGCGTTCTCAATGCGACAGCCGATGCTCAGGCAGGTGAGGTGTTGCGTGACTCACGCTCCATGATCGCTGCGGCTGTGCAGCGACATCAGCGAGCCGTGGCTTGGGCTGCAGCAGTTTGGCGTCTGCAGAGGCTACGGACTTTACCTTTTTGGCAAGTCGTACTTGATCAACAAACATTCCATGCGGAATGCTAGCTGGCGCACTGTGTTTACTTCTTTTTTATTTCAGGCAGGTTTCGCTTCCTTTGAGTTTTGCTTGGAGAAGTATGGGAACTTGATTCTCGCAGATGGCATACTATGGCGTCTTAACTACTTCACTTCGGTGAGGAGCAGGTTGACGTCCGCTTACAACAACAACAACAACCACTCCCTTCACCAGGATCTGGTGCTGTTTCGAAGAAAGCATTGCAGCGGCCCAGCCAAAGTTCAGCACAAATTCTCCAAACCATTTCCCCACCGAGAAGGTTATAAACAAATATATTATATATATTTATATATATATTACACATGATAAATACTAGTAGGCTAAAGAACGAACCTTGTTTTTTTGAAGCAAGTGCATAGCTGGTGGTTCTGAAATATGGCAGATATCACTCAAATAAGAGGTTGTGCCTATCAACCTGTGATGTTTTTCGAGCCGGCCAAGTCCAGGTTGAAGAGCGGAACACCGGGACGCCACTGCTGCTGGATGTGGCCGCCACCGACGCCTCCAATCAGGCCCTGAGACGGTCGTTGTCCATGGGGAATCAGTTGCGAGAAACCTGGAAAACATGGCATGCCGAGGCTCACGTGATCACTGATGGTCTGGCAGCCCCAGAGGCGCGTTTGATGCCGCTGCTGGGCTTTTTGACGAAGGCCTTGCGCGAAGCGAACTTTCCCACGTTGCTCGCGCAGAAGGCGGACTTCAAGCTGTGTCGAACCCAAGAGGGATCTCTTCCAGGTTTTTTTCACTGATCCTTCATGTGTTTTTTTTTCTGTTTTGTAAACAGTTGGCAAATGGCTAGCACGGAGTTTGACCTCGGAATCGCTCATCAGTGAAGAAAGCAGACGGGTCATGGTGTGCCCCAGCGAAGCAGAGTGTGCCGACGTGTGCCGTGGCCAGGGTCTCAGCGTCGACATCTCAAAGGCTGACGCCAGCAAAGCAGAGGACAAGATCCGTATCCTCAATTGCATCAGACTGCCGCAAGCAAGGACGAAGGCCAGGTCCGGTGCATGGCTTGCATGCCCACAAATGAGAACGTACAGCATTGATTCTCCATGTGAAATTCATAGTCGCGCATGCCGAAGCATATCTCAAGTGTGCAGCTTTTTCTCTGATTTTTTTCTGTTATTGTTTGGAGGTCTCAGTGCATATGCAGAGTTTAAGCGGAAAGTAAGATGGTCAGATTTGAAGTGCGAGGTAAAACGTTGAGTTGTCAGGGTAACTGATCGAATGTGCACATGATTCATGGTTGATATCAATGGCACATGGGTTGACCTGGATGTAGATGGACGTAGACCTGACACCCTCCGTGGACCTGAGGATTTGACTGACGTCGCGCCCCTTCAAGATCCAAATTATTCAGCTGTGACGCTGGGCCTCGATCAACGAGTGGCGCAGCGTATTTCTTTGGGATGTGTTTCTTTGATCTTTTGGGAAGTTGTTTCTGTTGAGTTCTTTGATCTCTTGGGAAGTGAGTTTCGTCATGTTGCTCCCAAGATGGGCTGAGGAACAAGGCCCTGGCAGCGCATTTTGCCATCGCTTCCTGGTTTGGTGCCGTTACGCAGGGGCACGACACCAGCAACCTTCGGAGAGCCCTGGCGGCCGACAGCTCACGGCATATGGTGGAGTTGTCCTTCACAGGCTGCCGTGGCTTTGGGGATGACTCGCTGCAGCAGCTGCTGAATCACTTGCCGAGGCTTTTCGGGTTGGGGTTCCAGCATGTCGCACAAGGAAAGTTGAAAGTCTGATCATGGAAGACAACATTCTTCGAAAGATTCTGCCATTGTTGTCATAGCAAATCACCAGTCATTCAATTGATTTAAGGGAATCTTTTAAGACACCCCTATATTTGATGGGGGAAACCCATGTTTTTCCGAAGATTTTCCACCAGTGAACCAGCTTTTCAAAGGGCAAAACTGCAGGAAACTTCGTCTGCTCCGCTTGGATCTGGCCTTTAGCGGGGTTCAATCATGGAACTTCCAGAAGGCGCGGGTGGCGGGGCCTGAAGGATTTTCACTAAGTCGGGGATTTGAATGGATTTGACCAACAAAAATAGGGCTATGCTATGGATTTCATGGATTGAGGATATACTATGTACAAATATGGATTAAACTTTTAACCAATAGATATCAATAGATGTAATGGAATGGTAAGGTGTGCATTTCTCATTCCGTCGAATTTGCAGGAGATGCCTCCACTGGAGCAGCTCACCCTGCGCTTCACGGGCTCCAGGTTGGCAGATGCGTCCGGCTTGGCACAGATGCTCGACACAGAGCAGTGCCTCGCAGGGTCGCTGAAATCTTTACAGCTGTGGTTTTCCAACCTTCCGTTGGCAGCTGAGCTTTTGTGGATGCGGATGTGATTTTGGATATCATGTGTATTGCGATTTTTATTACTCGTGAATGGTATCTGTATCATGTTTACATAGAGTTCTTGAAGACATTTCTCAGGTCCTTGGTGGAGCTGGGCTCATGGGAGCCGCTCACAAAACTGCACCTGGAAGAGTTGGTCTTACAGCTGAAGCGCTGTGGCCAAGTTCCTCCTGAAGCAAAGCAGTCGTTGATCCTCCGCTGCATTCAATGCCACATTGTCACATTGGCACTACACATCCCCCACCGTGAATTCCCCCTTGTTCAACTTGGAGTAGCTGAGTGGTCGGGGCCAAGTTGCCATTTTGTACGATCCGACACGGCTCCAGCAAGGTATGCGTGCGTCCAACAACTGAAGAGAGCTAGGAGGGGACTGGATCTTCGGTTGACGATTGAGGCCGGGGAGCTCCTAATGCTGGTTTGGTGTGAGTTAATGCACGAAACCTAGGTAGCCGAGACAATTTAAAAATGTTCAAATATGAGTTTATCATGGTTCATCAATGTCACTCAGATTTTGAATATATCAGATCAATCCATGCATTTGTCATGTTCTTGTTCACAGTTCAAGCCAGGGAGTTGCTGAACCTTCCTGGTCATGGTCTTGGTCTGGATGTCAGCCGCAAGTCCAGGATCCGATCCGGAGGTTTTTTGAAAAGAAAACATGGAGTGTTGTTTGGAAAAAAACACTCACCTGTTGCTGTTTACAACAATCTATATCATACAGGAAAAATAAAACATTCCTTTTGTTTGGATGTTGTTTTCATGGTAACTCCAAGACCTGTTTCACACAGCATGTCTCAGCTTTCAGGAGGTGGAGCTGGCTGGTAGCAAGGCCGTGGACTACGTAGATTTTGACGACGCCATTGACGACTGTGGAGGGCGAGCTCCCTTTCCATGCAGCCACAGCAGATGCCACGAATTCCACGAAAATGTTCATGGCTTTTGCCCTAAACATCGGCTACTGCGACACTGGTGGAAACTGGCATCCTGGTGGCGGACAGCCCCCTGGCCAGTTGTGTTTAGTTATGATGTTTTGTAGAATTTATATAAACAAAATCTACGGTCATCCCCAAAAAGATAGAACAGGTCCAATTTATCACTCCGTCAGTTTTTGCCGAGTTCTCACGCCTCAAGGGAGGTTGACCACATTTGACCACGACGTACGTATTTATCACTTTAATCGGATTTTACTTTTCCATCTATTGGGGGGTTGAGTTTTTTGTGTTTTAGATCGCCTTTGCGGTGTAGCGGAAGCTTAGCCCTGGTTGCCTGCCAGGCTTGGCGATGGGCCGAACTCAGCTTACTTTTTACAATGCAGGCTGCTGCTGAAATTCAGCAGCGGACGACCCTTGCCGTGATCCTGCTGTCGCTGTGCCTAAGTTGCACCGAGACTTGAGGGCTGGCCATCTTGAAATTTGAAGCATCTTTGAACTGGGTTTGTCGGAAAAGGATGGAAAAGGGGTACGCCATCAAGTACGGCTATTTGAATGGGGAAACTTATGATGAACCAATGGATTTAGGATGATTTAGGGGTATCCCGTTTTCTCCTGGTCATCTTTGATGCTGAGTTCACGGCAGGTACCCTGTTGCCTGCTTGTCACTGGAAGAGTCTTTGGGAGTTCCATGGGCTGTGATCTGCACTTTGCTCTCCGTGATAGTGCTGAGTGACTCAGATCTTGCAGTCGCACTGCTTGTACTCGAATTTTCCAATCCAGACAGAATCAGAATCAGAATCACGACGCGTCGAAACACCATAGGAAATCATAAGAATTGCCAGGCTGCAATTGAGCTAACCACGATGTTTATGCGGATGTTTATCCATATGACTTGGAGATGTCTCAACGGCGCAACATGGTGCCGTTGAGCAACCGGCAACGGGGTCCGGGTCCCAGCGTCCCAGGTAGCATTGTGACTACGAGCATTCGCTTTGACACCGTGAGAACGCAAATTCTGCAGGAAGCGGTGGCAACAGAAGCAAGTTACTCCCAGGTGCACTGTTCGAATCCTTCCAGTGTTTGTTCTTTCACAAGATGTATATAGATGTAAGATGTATGTCAATGTATGTCTTTTTGAAAGGTTTCTGGCACGTTTATCCCCAACAGAAATCAAAGCGAGACAGTCGAAAGTCAAACCGAGAAAACCGAGAGAGACAAGAACACGATGAGTCAAAATAAACCACGCTTGGTTTAAAAAAGGAAGGCAAGGAAAGGGCAAACCTAGGACCTAGGCGAGCCCCTTATGTTGTGAACATGATGTGGCTTTGTTTGAGAATAGTGTACCCCTAAATCCACTGGATTATCATTGATCATCATTTTCCTATTTTTTCCTTATTAAAGCAACCATTTGGGGATCCCATTTTCAGAGACACCCATGTGAACCAAGAACCGATCTTGTCAAGACATGGCGACATGGCAGGTGCTTCAGCTGCCAGAGGCTCAGAACGTCATTGGGGTGCCTTGGCTGCCAAGCCATGCGGGCAACATGCTCCGGGTTCCCACAATGGACTGCGGCTATGCAGATCCTCGAGACCTACGTCAACAAAGCGAAGATTTGCATCTTGGAAGCAACCGGCATTCACCTTTTTGACTTCCTCATGCTTCGCTCTATACATGTATGTGATTGTGCTGACATGCATCCATTCCATTCCATTCCATTCCGTTCCATTCCATTCCGTTCCATTCCATTCCATTCCATTCCATTCCTGCATGTTTTTGACTGAATTCAAGTCAATATGCGTGCCTGCAGGGCTGGAACATTTTTGGGTGCGCAACAGCATCTCCCTCTATTGCGGTGCCTTGTCTCGTGTATTCCTGGGCGTGTTTTTTTTGGTTGAGAACTTCTCCACGTCGCAAACTTCCACGTCCTCATGGCTTTGCTTCAGGAGAGCCATGAATGTGGCGCTGCCGGACGCTAGATTGAAGCTGAAGCTGCTGACCAGTTTGAGCGACGAAGAGAAGCGAAGCCGCTCGACCATGTTAGCAGCTTCTCGTGCTGGTGCCTGTATCTAATCATTTCCCCTGGTCATGATCAGGCTATCCAAATTATAACGTGGTGTGCTTGAATTGTTTGTACAGACCCAAATGAATGCAGACCCGAGTGTTTTTTAGATGCAGAATGCATATTATGCAATATCATGCAGCAATGCAATTGTTGCAAGCAGATGTTTTCTTGGGGGCTGTCCCAGTGAAGTTTGTTTTACGGATGATCCACTATGATCCAACTAGATGAATTTATGATTTGGGAAGGTGTGCAGGGACCTCCCCGTATTTATCCATATTTGTTTTCTCGAATTAGTCCAAAACAGTTCAACCCCCTAGAATCCCAAGACTCGATCATGGTTTCGTGATGTTTCCTGCACATCAATTTCGTACATCGAGCAGCAAGGCCCGCAACAAGTTCTGGACGCGCTTCGATTTGAATTGATGTGCGAAAACATGCAATCCGTTCAGGAAGCATTCAAGGGCCTCAAGGTGCACAGGGATTCTGTGTCCGTTTTGCTTCGCCATGAATAAACTGACTCCACCAAAAGGTGTGCAATCTGGTTTCTAACATCTGTATCTTTTAACCTGCTTTCCAATGTAGCCTACATGTAAACCAGGCATCTCATGTAGCCTGCCCAAAGTGCGCAACCTGGCTATCCGACTGGATAGGACCGCCTTGCGAGCGAAGAAATGGTCGCTTTGGGTGTGCGGATCGCTGCTGTCCGGGACACCTTTGCCGAGATGAGCGGGGCTGCCAGCGGCCAAAAATGCTGTCAGGCCCCGCCTTGAGTGACACAAAGTGACCCACAAGATGTCTGACTTAGATGGAGTTCCCCTGCCCAAAATTGGGAAGTGATCATTATTATCATGAACATGGTCTTTCCATACCCCCACAGTGAATCGAAGCATAAAACTCGGTTGGTGTTTTGGAAAAGCCGTGATGCTCGAGCTCCTCCCAGTGGTGCGGCTGGGACATACCAATCCTCGAGCTTTTTCGTTCCTCACCTTTAGCCATGGCATGTGGTTCATTCCCCATGGAGTTTGGAAATGTGGACAAAGGTCAGTCGATTTCTCTGGTGGTGGAGCCTTTGATTTTTGACCCTTCGCATGACGCTCATCAAGTCAAGGTGGTCCATTCTGGTGTGGTTTGTTACTTTTCTGGATTGCTGCCGGCAGGTTTCATGCGATTTACCCTTTGTGATGTTGAAGTGGTGCGACAGTTCCCTTGTCCCATGGTCAAGACTGCTGCTCAGACAAGGATTCTGTCTCACTCTCCTCCTAGCTGGGTTGACATGCACAAAATGATAGATGGATGTTGCGGTATCGGAGGAATTTCACATGGAGCTCAGGCAGTAGGGGTTGTCACTACGGTTGCAGTTGATTCCAATATGTTGATGACTGATTTGCATAAGAAACATTCAGGTGCTGAAGTCATCACAGGTGATTTGGGGGACATCTCAGTCATTGCTGAAGCGTGGAAGAAAGCTGAGGGGGCCCAAATACTCTCAGCCGGCTTCAGCTGTCAACCGTTCAGTCGCCTTGGGGACCAACGAAGTGGTAATGATCCCAGGTCTGAGTCCCTCCCAAAAGCCTTGAAAGCAGCCTACTACCTTCAAAGCAAGGTGGTCCTACTAGAATGTGTCACACCGGCAGGTTCTGACAGATTCGTTTCTCAATGCATTGATCATTTCATCAAGCTTACTGGTTTCAAGAAAGAGCAAATTGACCTTCACCTTCATGATGTTTGGCCTTGTCGCCGTTCACGAACATGGTGGTTGCTCACTGACCCATGTTTAGGTGGAGTAGGGCTGCAAAGTTGGTCTCCCATTAACAACTTGCCTATTGTCAAATGCTTGATTCCGTATATTGCACGATGGGATCCGAGAGATGAGTTGGCTCTGTCATTGGATGATGCAGAAAGGTTGGCATTTGGAGCGGAAGATGGTAGGTATCCAGGGTTCATGCTTTCATCTGAAGGGGTATCCCCTACAGCACTTCATGCCTGGGGTTCACAGTTGCGCCCATGTCCTTGTGGCTGCCGAGGATTTGCATTGTCTGAGAAGCGCCTCCAGGAGAAAGGCTTGTTTGGGCTGTTGGTTCAGTCACAGGCTGGTCAAGGGCCTCCTCCTTGCCTTAGGCATTTGCATCCGAATGAAGCCTTGGCCCTCAATGGTATGGATTGCACAATAGACTTTGGGCTGAATGTACGGTTATCTTTGTCTGGAGTGGGGCAGATAGCCAGTCCCTTGCAAGCAGCGTGGGTGTTGAGTTTCCTGGTTTCCAAAATTTCGATTCTCAGGTTTGGGTTTGCTCCCTTTCCGCCTGAGACGCAACTGATTGCTTTTCGCTCCTGGTTGCTTATGAAGTGTTTTTCCATGTGGCCATGCAATGATGTGGTTGTCCAAGACAAGACGTTGTGTGATTTGGTTGCCTTTTGGCAGGATTATAAGGACATTCCTCTCATGCAGTTGATGCTTTGTAGTCATTGGCCTGCGCTGAAAGCTGAAATGATTTCCATTGCGGCTGTCTTGGACAGTATCATTTGCAGTCATTCGGAGGTGGTGACAGTCTCTCCTGACATTGAGGCTCCAGAAACACCTTGGTATGACCAGCCCATTGCCGATCCCAAATGTGATCTGTGTTTTCAGGTGTCTGTTTCCACAGTGACCTTGATTGATGTTGATGGCAGTTCCTTTCCTTTTGGATTTCAGGCCGGGTCCACCATTTCTGATGTCTTGCAAGCGCATGCCAGATTAACGGGCCCTTTGACCGTTCAACTAGTCTCTGATGATCGGGGGCATTTTCTTCCATTCAACCAGGTGATTGAGCCTGGACAAGCCATTCTTGTTTTCTTGTCCAAATCAGGTGAAGGTGAACATTTCTCGAATTGTGTTTCTGAATCAGAACATGATAAGGATATTGCCCTTCCTGCCCTTGATGATGTTGATATGGGTCCTGGCCGCCCTGAGGGAATTGTGAGTTCCGCTCCGGTACTTCCCAATGCTGCTGCTCCAGGGGAATCCGGGCTACTCCCTAAAATGCTCGATGAGACTCTGCAAGTTGATTTGCCATCTGATGTGAAAAGTGGTGCCTTACCCACCTGTGAGATATCGCCTACTGCAGTTTGGACCCAGCAGTGCCACTTAGGAAGGGATTGTGAGTTCAATACCTCGGAACAAGGCCTTTTGCCCTCACTGTGGGGCTCTGTACAGGCGCTCCTTGGGTTGTCCCAGCAGCAGTTTTTGCGGTTGTCTGTACCGTGTATTGGGGATTCGGCAAAGTTGCTGTCTCTACGCAGCCAAGTTGTCACCATCAATGAACGCATTCAATTGTTAGATGTGCAACAAGGTTTGTGGGCGGATGATGAAATTGCCTTTCACTTGAAACAACTTGTTGAGCAGTATGGCTGTCTCCCCAAGGTTGTTGACACTGGTAAAGCCAAAGTGTGTATCATAGACCCACTGTTGATGGGTGCCTGGATCTGCGGATGTGGTTACCCCATTGAAGAGTGGGCACAATGCCATAGTGATGTTCTTCAGTCCAGTATCCAAGTGATTGGGGTTGGTCGTCTGGACACGCATTGGATTCCATTTCAGATTGTACCCTGTGGAGCGCATGCCAATATCTTCACATGGGATGCGCCTTGTCATGGTCATGAACGGTTCAACCAGGTCTTAGAGCACATTGGAAAGGCCTTAGGTTTTGCTTCAGTATTAATCAACCGTCAGCAACGTCTTGTTCCAGTTTCAACCAAATGTGGGGCTATGGCCATTCATTTCCTTCATGGAGTGTTACATGGAACCATGCTGCCCATAGCGGCCAGTGAAGTAGATGTGGTCCATACTATGCTTCGTGAGCGTTTTCATCAAGCCTTGACACAACGTGGTGTTGCCCAACGACCATGGATATGGGGTAGTGGGGATGCTGATGATGATCTTGAAGGGGAATGTGGGCCACTCCCTAAATTGCCCACCAGTGTTGAGCAGCCTGAACCGGTGAGGTCGACTATTGAGTCATTTACCAGGGAAATTCGAACTGTGCCAGAGTCAGTAGTGCTTTCCTCTCCTGTTGAGTCTGCTGTGTCAGAGGCTGCTCCTTCCACGTGCTCAGGAACCCATTCTTTGCCGACTGCTGTGCCAGGTGCTTCTGATGAGTTGAGCCTGCTTCAGCTCTTGGCTGCTGATTGCCAAATGTTGAAAGACCTTGAGACTCCCATCATTGACGATTTGCCTCGGTTGGGGTGGCTTCGTTCACAGCTGATTTCTGTTTCTGATCGATTGGCCATTCTTTCTCGGCAGTATGGTATCTGGGCTGATGATGAAATTCGTTTTCACTTGCATGAGCTTGCAGCAGTGTGTGCAGCAATTGGAATGACTGATGGAGACTTTAGCAGGCCTCTTGTGATTGACCCTTTGCGCTTCTCCTCATGGTTTGATGGCCGGTCCTTGCAAAGTTCCCGGTGGGCTCAGTCTCAGTGCGATGTGTGGGTAAACCAAACCAAGGTTATTGGCGTCTTCAAGTGGGATAAGCATTGGTTTCCTGTGCTGTTTCTTCCAGCTGGTGATCATGTGACTATTGTCCTTAGTCATAGACATTTGCAAATACCTGCCAAGCTTGTGAACTTGTTGGTTGACATTGCTTCGGGCCTTGGATTTGAGGGTATTCGATTCCATCATGAAATGCCCAACTTCATTTGCCACTCTGCGTGTGGAGCAAGTGCCATTGATTTTCTTCGTCACAAATTGCTGGGACTCTCCGTTGCAGTCAAGTACTCGCAAGTTTGGAGTCTGCATGTTCAGTTTCGTGATTTCTTTCGACAAGCATTGCTTCAAGAGACACTGGTGAGTAGACCTTGGGTTTGGGCCTCTGGTGCTAGTGATGCAGAAGCTACAGAACGTGAATGGGGCTCGGAGGATGGTGGGGCCACTGGATCTGGTGTCCCGCATTCAGCCTCTCCGGTGCCTGTCGCGCTGCCGACCATGCCATCACCATCTCATGTTTGTATTGACACTGATGATCGCATTGCTCTGTTTGTGGAGCATCGTAAGGATATGGGAGATGATGAAATCAGATTTCATCTTGCCACGCTGCTGAAACAACGTGGAGATCGTATTCTTGTTGGTCATGAGGTTTTGCCCATTGTTCTGGGCTTTGAAGGGATCAATTTTCTGAACTGGGATGCCACTGGACACATTGTGACAGAGAAGTGGTGTCAAAGCTTCCCGCAAGTCAAGGAAAAGGGACATCAGATTGTCGCAGTCGTGCTTGAAGGTCATCACTGGATTCCGCTATGGTTTGTGCCTGGAGGGATGGTGTTGGTGATTCACACCTTTGATGACATTGTTGATTATGATATTTTTGATGGTAAGCTGCGTTGGATGGGGCTTCACCTTGGCTTTGAGGAGGTTGTTATTCATCGGGTGCCCCATGGACTTCCTTCCCACACTTTGTGTGGTGCTCATGCTCTTGCTTTCTTGGCGCATATTTTGTTGCGTGCTGATTTGCCTGAAGATATTGATGAGCTTGATGCCATGCGAGTCAACATGCGTGCTTCATTTGTTCAAGCTATGTATGAGCGCACTACATGTATTTGTCCAATTGTCTGGGGATCTGGGGGCTCTGGTGCCCTTGTGAAATCATTGTCGGCTGAGTTGTGTCTCCATGGAGTTCCAGAGAATCTTTCTGAACAGCGTGCCTCTCAGGCTATCAAGGCCATTGGTAGTGAGCAGCTGCAGCATGCACTCCAGCAAAAGCAGGTTTGGCGCCATTTGAAGGCC